GAATCCCTGTCTCAGGGCCAGCTTCGGAGGGAACTCAAACTAAGCAGATGAGGAGGAGAAAGCTGACAACCAGTAGGGCCCCTTGCGGCCACCTCATTGTATAGCCTGGACAGAGGTGGTCCAGGGGTGGGGGAGCCAGGCTGGAGGTGATGTCCAGGCTGGCTGTTAGGATGTGTGGCCCAGCAGCAGATGTCCAGGGAGAGAAGCTGCTTGAAATGGCGCTGGAGAAGGATTCTATTCTGAGTAGACTGCTCAGATTAGAGCAGGACCTGATGACATGGAATCAGGGTCCGGCCCTGGGAAAGGGGTCTGGCCAGGCCCAGGTAGCTGGACCAGGGCTCAGGATCGAGGTATAACCACAGGGTTCATCTCAGCTGAGGCAGCAGCCCAGAAGGATCATTCAACACACCCAGTGGGTCAGAGGAGAGGCTACTGCTAGGTGGGGACAGGATTCTTGGGGCCCACAGGACATCAGACCCACTCGAGACCCCAATTTCCAACCCTCTCTTGCTCTTCATGACATGGACCCTCTCATCTTGGGACCTTTATAAATCCTGCTCCCTCTGCCTGGAGGAGTCTTCCTTACCTTACTTTTCTCTGTTCCTAAATGACATTCTTCCACTCTCAGATCTCAACACAAACACCACTTTCTGAGTGCAACCTTCCATGTACCCCCAATCAGATGACCATTCTGTTACCAGAAGTGTCCTCACCACCACCATGAGAGCACAGAGAGCCAACGGGATAAAATATACCAAGGAGCAGTTAAGAGAACCGGAGGAGAGATGGAGGGATCTCAACATATGACTGATGGAAGTTCCAGAAAAAGTGAGAGGAGGAAATGATGGAGAAGCAATATGTAATGAGACAATCAATGATTATTTTCAAGTGCTAAAGATCACCATGAACCCTCAAATCAAAAATACACCCCAAGAATAGACAGCATAAATTAAGTCTATATATGGCTCTATTATAATTAAACTACAAAAAATCAAGGGTAAAGAGGAGATCTTTTAAATTATTGAAAATTAAACGTCACCACCAAAAAAACCAGAAAGAAATATAATCTCAATCTTCCAAACCAGCAACATTTAATACTTCAACATATGTGTGTATATGCATGTGTATATACACATATATAATCCACAGAAGACAAAAAGGAAAAGAAAGATAAAATAAGTAAAACACATACAATGAGGTGGTATAAGTCCAAATACATTATTAATCATAATACATGTCATTTGGATAACACAAATAAGAAATGTAATCATATATACGAGATGGATAGGTAGAGAAATATTGTACCATCCAAAAAATTGAGAACCTAATAAATTGAGAATACTCATAATTTTCACACACATTAAAATTTGTAAAAACTAATCATTTATTAAGTCATAGAGCACTTTGACAAATGTTTTTAAAAAGATGTTTATCATCCAGAACATGTACTCTGACCACAATTTAATTTAAATGTTTTGTTTTGGAAATTTGGAAATACTGGCTGGGTAAAAGAGGAAAATGCACTTAAAACTACAAATGTCTTATCACTAAGTGACAATTAGAGTAGCACTTGTATAATGGAACTAAAATCATTTTTAGAGGCAAACGCGTAGTCTTATATTCATGAATTTAAAAATCAAGAAAGAGTAAAATATATGAGTCAAACGTGATCAAATAAAAGAGCTAGAAAAGGGGTACCAGAGCAAATGTAAAGAAAGTACAAAGAGGGAAGTAACAAGAAATAGGTCAGAAATAATGAGCTGGAAAACAAAGAAGAAACAGAAAGGAATTTTAAAAAACGTACAGCAGAGACTGCCCTTGTTCCCCACTTTCCATTCTCACGTTGCTGCAACACGATAGAATCTCTAGGAGGTGCATGGCCACCCAGTCACCCCTGCAGCCAGATGTAAAACATGGAAGTAGGCACAAGTACTGGGTCATATCTCTAAAACACAGTGTTCTGGCTCTTTCCCTTTCTCTTCTCAGCTGCTTGGGATGCAGACATGACGGCAGGTCATGTTGAGTATGGTGGAGCAACAAGAGAGAAAGAGCCTGGGCCCCCAGTGACCTCCATAAAAGTTGTGACTTTATGTGAGACAGTGTGTTAGTCTGCTCAGGCAGCCATCCTAAAATACCACAGACTGGCTTGAACAACAGAAATTTATTTTCTCAGAGTTCTGGAGGCCAGAAGTCCAAGATCAAGGTGTCAGCAGGGTTGCTTTGTTCTGAGGCCTCCCTCCTTGGCTTATACATGGCCCCCACTTCTCGCTATGTCTTCACATGGTCTTTTCTCTGGGAGTGCACACATCTGGTGTTCCGCTATGTGTCCAAATTTCCTCTTCTTATAAGGACACCAGTCAGATTGGATTAGGACCCGCCCATCAAAATAGTTCCTCACTTTAGCTTAATTACCTCTTTAAAAGCGCTACCTCCGAATACAATCACATTTGAAGAGCTTCAATGTGTGAATTGGGCTGGGGGTGGGGGGGACACAATTCAGCCCACAATAGGTAATAATAAGTGCATGACTTGTTTAAGTCATTAATAATTTTAGGTTTCTGTTGTAGCAGTCAAATTTACATCCTATCCAAATACAGAACCAAAAGCTGGGTCTTTGGAGGAAAAAAATGATACAATAAAGATACCAGTTAGCCTAAGCAAAGAAAAAGGAGGAGGAGGAGGAGGAGGAGGAGGAGGAGGAGAAAAACGGCACAAATAAGCAAAGTAAGGAATGAAAAGGAAGATAGTCATTCAAACAGTAACCACACTAGTAAATACATTTAATCAATTCAGAATTGACCTCCTCCACCCCAAGCCCAAGTAAGTTTAGAGGCAAATTTTCTGAAAATTCTGAGGACCAGAAAATACATACTCTTTACAGAAACATTTCAGAGGACAAAAAAAAATAAATAAATAAAAGCTACCTATTTTATTTTATGAAGCCAGTATAACCTTGATGGCAAAACCAGACAAGGATAATTTTTTAACAGGAAATATAGATCCATTATACACTTATGAACATGTTTTAAAATCTTAAATAAAATATCAGCAAATTTAATTTAGCAGCAAATTTGATCTAACATAATTTCAGTGAAAAAAAATATATATATAAAATAATTGCTGTCCAGATGGGGTTGATACGAATTTATGTTCATCAGCTAAGCAGAAGTCAAAGTCTGATAATACAATTGTTGATGGAAATGTAGAGGAACGAAATTCTCATATAATGTTGGTAAAGTCAGTTGATATAAGCCCTTGGAGAGCAAAGTGTAGATGCTCATAGTCTTTGCCCCACCTGCTCAATTTACTATTCTCAGTAAATAGCCAAGAGAGAAATCTCAGCACCTGTGCTCCAGAATACATTTACAGGAATGTCTACTGCACCGCTGCTTAAAATAGAAGGGGGAAAAAAACAGACACAAAGAAACGTCCACCAGAAGGAAATGGGTAAACAAATTAAAGTATAATGTATGCTAGAATATGATGTAGCAGTAAAAATGAATGAACAAGAGCTACATGTAGCATTATTCCACACATAGTGTCAACTTGTATAAATCATTAATGGTGAGCAAAAAAAAAAAAGCAAGCTGCAGAAGGATACATGCAGAATAACACATAAAATTCTTTTTGGTTCAATACTTTCAGTCTAGTTTATTGAGATACAATTTGCATACAGTAAACTTTACTCTCCTTAGTGTACAGTTCTGTGAGTTATGGTAAATGCATACAGTTGCATGGTCACCATCACAATCATGATATAGAACAGTTCTATCACCTCCCCAAATTCCTTAGTGCCCCTTTGTAAGCACTAAATCCCTCCCCCACCCTACTCCCAACTCTTGTAATCATATAGTATGTAGCCTTCTGAATCTGGTTTCATCCACTTAGCATAAGGTGTGTGAGGTTCGTCCATGTTACTAAGTGTATCAACAGTTTTTTATTGCTGAATAGTATTCCATTGTATCGGTGTACCCATTTATTCATTCATTCCCCAGTTACAGTGCACTTGGGTTGTTTCCAGTAAGAGCAATTATGAATAAGCCTGCTGTAAACATTTGTGGGCTGGTTTTTGTGGGAACATAAGTTTTTCATTTCTCATGGGTAAACACCTAGGAGTGGGAGTGCTGGTAAATGTATGTTTACTTTTATAAGAAACTGCCAAACTATTTTCTAAACTTTCTACACAATTTTGTATGAATGGTAGTTCTGCATCTTCACCAGAACTTGACAGTGTCAAGTTTGTTTTTTACATCATGGTAATAGGTATCTCATTTTGGTTTTAATTTGCACTTCTCTAATAGCTAATGATGCTGAACATCATTTTATGTACTTTTGCCATCCATATATCTTCTTACCTGCAGGGTTTGTTCAAATTTTTTGACTGTTTTTAATTGGGTTATTTGTTTTCTTAATATTGAGTTTTCAGGATTCTTTGTAGTCAGGATTCAAGTTCTTTATCACATGTGTTTGGTAAATATTTTCTCCCAGTCTGTAGCTTGTCTTTCTGTTTTCATAAGGATGTCTTTTGAAAGTCAGATGTTTTTAATTTTGATGCAACCTAACTTAGCTTATTTTTCTTTTACAGCTCATGGATATAGAAGCTACAACTAAGAAAATTTTGCCTAACCTGAACTCACAAAGATTTTCTCCTATGTTTCCTTCTGGCAGTATTTTAATTTTAGGCTTTGCTTTTAGGTCTGTGATCCATTTTGAGTTAATTTTTGTATAAGTTGTGAGGTATAAGTAATCAAGTTTTTTTTTTTAATGGATGTTCAGTTGTTCCAGCACCATTTGTTAAAATAATTATCCTTTCTCCATTGAATTGCCTTTGCACCTTTTTCAAAAATCAACTGGTGTATCTGTGTGTAGGTCTGTTTCCAGTTTATAATGTTGCAAAGTGTGAAATACAGCATAAATTTTTTTCAAAATATTTCAGCCATTCTAGTGGATGTGTGGTTGCTAACAGTGAGGTTCCCCAGGAAACAGACTCAAAGATGGAGTTTAGCAAACAGGATGTTTATTAAGAAGTGTTCTTGAGATCAACACCTGTGGTCAGGAAGGAAATAGGTGCAAGCAGAGGGAGAAGGTGAGCCTCCCCTGACCCCAGAGGGAGCAGTAAAGCTGGAATGGACCAAGTTGGCCAAAACGGCTGGAGGGGCCACAGATCCATGGAAGGGGATCTGAGCAATGCACCTTTGCATTCAATCACAGTAGGGGTATACTTGGGATTTTAACTTGCACGTCCCTGCTACTAATGAGGCTGCATGCCTTTTCATATGCTTATTAGCCATTTGACCGTATATCTTTTTTGGAGGGGAGTCTGTGAGAGGATGATGAGGTAGCTTAGGGCCTTAGTGAGAAACAAGGCGCCCCTCTGGAGCCTCAGGCTCTGCATAGAGCACAAGGAAGCAGCCCCCAGGGTAGTGGAAAGTCAGACAGACAAGGGTCCAAATCGGTCTTCCACTCCCTAGCCATATTCCCTGGGAGAGCAATTCAACCTCTCGGAGCCTCAGTTCATCCTCATAAAATAACTGAGACTGTGACTAGGGGTAGAAGAAGGAAAGGAAGGAGATGTCCTGGCTAAACTCTGGTCCTCCAGGATGTCCAGTCAATTCCAGAGTACCAGGGAAGTTGCCCCCACTGGGTCATTTGGCAAAAGGGACCCAAGAGCTTCCCAGGAAGAGACTCAACCTGAGGGAAGAAAAATGTAATTTCCAAGTGGATGGAGCCAGATCAGTCCTTTAGGTTGACCCTGGGTTCAGCCGTATGGCACCAGGTCTGAGTCCCAGGGGACGAGAATACAAGAGAAAACTGGAGGAATCCGTTGTCTATTGCAGTGAAACAAACCATGCCGAACTTGGTGGCTTCAAACAACAACAAACATTTATTCTGCTCAGGAATCCATAGCGTAGGCAAGGCTCAGAGGGGACAGCTCATCTCCGCTCCAGGCGGCACCAGCTAGGGTGGCTGACTGAAGCTGGAACATCCACTTTTGAAGATGGCGCACTCACATGGCTGGAGGGTGGGTGCAAGCTGCAGGCAGGGACCCTCAGCTCCTTTCCAAGTGGGCCTCTCCATGTGCTGTTTGGGCTTCCTCCTAGAATGGTGGCCAGGTCCCCGGGGCAACTATCCCAAGCAAACCAGTGGAAGCCACATCACTCTTTATGACCCACTGTATTACTTCTGCCATAGTCACAAATCCATCCAGATTCCAGGAGAAGGAGTCAGAGTCACATTGTATGAAGACCATGTGGGATGGGAGACACTGTTGCTACCATTTTTTTGGAAAATACAATGTGTGGCAAGCCCTGTCCCTAAGACATCTACACAACTGAGAGCTGACACGGCACATTTCGGAGCTGTGTGACCACAGATAGCGAACCTAGAGGGACAAATGGGGAGAGGAAACTTCCTTTTAGGGTGATGGGGGTGGCTCAGAGGCCTGGGCTGTGGCCAAGCCAGCCTTCAACCTGGAGAGGTCCTAGGCCTTCTGAAGAGTAGAGGCCACAGCAAAAAGCTTGAGAGCAGCCATCCCAGCCTGAAAGCCAATCACAGGAGGAGGAAAATGGCAATACAATGTGACAGACGAATGTTCCTGAGCACTAGTGAGATACCTGCTAGGGCTCCTGGAAATAAACAGCAGCAACTTTGAAAGGTGAAGAGGTCCCATGAGAGCAAGAAGGAAAGAACACTGGTCCAGTTTCCTGTGGCTGCTGTAACAAATGACCACAATTTGGCAGCTTAAAACAACAAAGATTTATTCTCTCACAGGTCTGGAAGGCAGAAATCCAAAATCTGTATTACTGCGCAGAAATCAAGGTGCCATCAAGGCTGTGCTCCCTCTAGAAGCTCTAGGGGAGAATCCCGGTGGCTGGAATCTGATGGTGGCCAGCATTCCTTGGCTTGTGGCCACATAACTGATCTCCGCCTCTGCAGTCACGTCACCTTTTCCTCTTCCTTGTGTGTCAAATATCCCTCTGCCTCTCTCTTGTAAAGATATTGCGATAACATTGGACCTACCTGGATAATCCAGGCTACTCTATCTCAAGAGCCTTAATTTAATCACATCTGCAGAGACCCCTTCTCCACATAAGGTACTATGTGCAGGTTCCAAGGACTAGCACCAGGATATCTTTAATGGCCATTACCAGCCACCACAAGTACAGACACTGGGGTAAGTCTGGATGATCAGGAAGGAGGCTAAGGTCAGAGCAGGAGGGGCAGGGCAGAGAGCTATGTGTACAGAGTGAGGGGAGGAAGGGATGTCAACAGGAACCAACCTGGGGTCAGGAACCAAGGAGACAAGAGTAAGTCAGGAAGCCAGCCTAAGATGAAGCCAACAGTACGAGTCCTGACTGGTCCCCCCAGGCCAGAGCAGGAAACAGAGGACAAATGCCAGAATCCTACCATAAGGAGAGTGTAGGGTTGCACTGGAGAAGGCCACTGGGGCAGTGGGGGAAGGAAGGGTAAGCTACTCATCTGTCCTGACCTCTGGGCAAATTAGAAAACACATCCCTTTCTTGGGATGCTTCATTCTGTCCTCAGGAAATTATCATAATAAACTGATTTTTTTGGTCTTTTCTTCCTTTCTTTCTTTCTTTCTTTCTTTCTTTCTTTCTTTCTTTCTTTCTTTCTTTCTTTTTTCTTTTTTTGGTTGGAGGAAGGTAATTAGGTTTATTTATTTTAATTTTTTCTAATGGAGGTACTGGGGATTGAACCCAGGACCTTGTGCATGCTAAGAACACATTCTGCCTCTGAGCTGTACCCTCCCCCTGCCCCCATAATATACTGATACTTTAAGAGCAAGCAACATCACTGCTTTGAGGAGAAAGTATTGTAATGAACCCAGATCTAATGGGGCTCCTTAGAGTTACCCAGAGCTCGCACCACTGTATGTGTTAGACTATGCATGTTCAGTAGAGGGTGAGAACCAGGGCGAGTGATGTCAAGGAGCTCCCAGGTTTGAATGGGAGGCTGGATGTCCCAGGGATGGGCGCTGATGCTGCCCATGTCTGGGTTTTTACAGCCATCTATCCATCATCCATTTGTCTATTTCAGTGATCTAGCTCCAGTGAAATGATCAGGATGGGGTGGGCAGATGAGCAGGGGTGAGGGCCTTGAAGGTTGTTTCATTTGGTGCTGATGGTGTGATTCCAGGGCAGAGTCATAAATGTGAACATGCCCCAGGACCAGTAGCAAGTACGATTTCCTCTGAGGTATCAGGGCTCAACTTCACTGTCCAATGACACTGCCATTTATTGACCATCTACCCAGTGCCAGGCACTGCCCTCTTAACCATATCATCCTTCATCCTTACCTCAACCCTGCTGTGACAGTGTTATCACCCAGCTGCATTCTACAGATAATGAAACTGAGGCTTCGAGAGAGTGATTTGCATGGGGATACACAGGAAGGAAGCTACAAGGTTGGGATTTACCCTGGGTTGCCTGGGACTCCACACCATCCCCCACCAGGAGATGGGCAGTTCCAGGCTGAGAAGGCCATGGCAACAGGCCTGTGTATTCGGCCTCCTGCGCCTGGGTCCAGACTTCCATCTCAACAGGCCTGAGGTGTGGACGATGCCTGACCCACTCACTCTGTTTGGGAGCCGAACAGTAAATTAAAGGGCTTCATTATCTCATTTGAGAGTAGAATAAAACACTTTGGAAAGGCTGGTGAATTAAGTGCAATCAAGTTCTGAAAGGTTCTCCGTTGCTGGAAGGAACGTCCTCTGATAAATTGCTCTTTTCACCGAGATGTGGCTAATATCTCATGAGCAACCCCAGCAGTGTCCACTGCAGATGTTTCTGCATCTTCACAGAGGATTTAAAGAGACCAGGTTTCTTCCCAAGGGAGCAAATCACCTTTGCAATGCCCAAAAGGAGGTCCTGGGTCTAACTCCCTCTCCTATGACCTGCCGAGAAGGAACACTGGGGCTGCTTTGGCTCTAAGGTCACCCAGGACCCCCAGGATATCCCCACTTGCCAGTCACCACACGTGCAACCTGAGTCACTCCAGAAGCCTTGAATGGACACCATCCCAGGGAAGGCCACGCACCACCCAGCCCTGCCCTCCTTGAGCTTACAATCCAAATTAGGCTGTGTGTTAGTTCCACAGGACTCAGCTATGATTGTCCCGTCCCAATGACTTAATGACCAACATCTCACCACCTTCCCGGGAAACAGCCATCCAGACACTTGCATTTTAGCGATCACGAAACTGATGCATAATTTAACCCAACTCACACCTCCAGAGTCAGCTCCCAGAATATTAAAAAGCTGCAGTGGGGCCAGCCTTGGACACAGGTAAGAACAACAGCAACAATCCTCACCCACTGGGCTCTTCCCCTTGGCCAGGCCTGGACTCAGCACCTACACACACCACCTTGAGTTCTTAAAACACCCCCAGTTTACAGATGAGGAAACTGAGGCACTGGGGTGTGATTAGCAGGGTGTGGAAGCCTCTCAGCCTCTATCATCCACCATGTCAACATGCAGTCCGGTCCTCAGTCACAGATAATGACAAAAAAGAAAAAAGAAAAGGAAAAAAAATGCTGAAAGGGCACAGGTTGAGAAATATATAGGAGGGGGTGGGGGAGGCAGGAAAAAAGTATGGAAGGAAATGATCCAAGACAGAGAGAGAGAGAAGACAGAAAGACTCAGTGGCCTCCTGTCCTGCCCCAGCCCTGCCCAAGGATGGCACAAGAGAAAGAATGGAGCTCCTGCTGTCACCGTGGTACCTAACAATCACTCACTGAGTCAACCAATCAGTGTTCCTTAAGTAGCACCGAGTGCCCGGCCCTGCTGCAGGCCTTGGGAGACCCAAGAAAAGCTGTGCCCATAGGCTTCTCTCCTCCTGACCAGCTCCCAGCCTCAGTCTCCCCATCTATAAAATAGGCATATGAACCCCTGGCTCTCCAGAGAATCTGATGCAATGCACAGGCAGCAAGGAGAAGCCCTAGACACACCCCTTTCTTTCCTTTCCTCCTTCACTGAGGGAGCCACAAGTCAGGAAGAAGTAAAGTAGAAGCCACAGAGGGAGCCTGACCTTTGGGCCAGACTGCCAAAGAGCTGCCCATCTATGCATTCACTCATTCACTCAACAAACATTTACTGAGCAGCTACTGAGCATCTACCAAGTGCCAGGAACAACACTGGATCCTCTCCCATAGGCACTCTTTCATTTAATCCCCATGCACACATGCACACAAGCACATCCTATGAGAGAGGCACCATTATGCTCATTTTACAGATAAGGAAATCGAAGCAGAGAAAGATGAAACTTGCACAGCCCAGAAGGGGATAGAGGCCAAATTCAGACTAGGCCTGGTCCTCTAGGATGAAGTGTTGGTTGGTTGGTTGGTTGGTTTCCCATACCCTACACTTTCTACCTTGGTGAGGCCAAGTGATGCTTCGTGTCTCTGTCTAAGTGTGGATTTGGAGCAGAGAGGCTGATACTTGGTGTCTGGGGCCCCTGGGAAGGCTGGGCAGGCCTGAGATCACCAAGAAAGGAAGAGCCTGTGCCTGAGATCAGGATAATGACTGACAGGGATTAAGCTATGATAGTTTATGTTAATTCAGTCCAATGCACTTTGGGGACCATCTTTTCCTGTGCTGGGGTATAGGCAAGCATGTGGGAGAAGCATGTCTAGCAGAGAATCAGAGAAACCTCTTCTTCCTGCAGTCCTGTGGAAAAGTGTAGGAAAGGAAGGTGGCTAAGGCCTGGGCTTCCTCAGAATAAGCCAACAAGGCATCCATTTCAACAGGCTCCTCCCCTGCTCAAGAATCTTCAATAACTCCCCATGGCCTTCAGAAGGAAGTTTATCAAGCCCAGAGAAGGAAGTTCAAGGTCAGCTCATCTAGTGACTAGGGAAGGATCCAGAAAGAACCTGAGCCCCAGATAAAGATGCCCCTTAGTTCTCCTGACCCTCCCCTCTCTCTCTTCTTTTTCCCACTCCTACCCCATCTGAGCAGCCCATGCTGGCAAAGCCCATGATAGGCCATAGCCGTGAAAGTGAAAAGTTCTGCCTGTCCTTGGGCATTGCTTTCTTGGGTCCAGAGACTCCAGACTTAAGAATAAAGGGGCTTCTGGCATCTACATTCCCACACCCCACCCTGCCACAGCAGGGTGACTGAGGCCTGGAGAGCTGATTAAGAACAGAGGTCCAAGCTCCTCAAAGCAGAACAGGGCCAGGGCCTGGGCCTGGGTAGTATCTTTACCAAGTGCCCTGGTGATTCTGACACCAACCACAGTTTGAGAACCATTGCTCTAGGGCAATGCTGCCCAATAAAAATACAATGCAAGCCATACATGACGTTAAAGTTTAAAAAGTAAAAAAGAAATAGATGGAATTAATTTTAATAATATATTCTATTTAACCCATTATCGAAAATATTATTATTTCAAGATGTGATCAGTATAAGAAATTATTAATGAGATATTTTACATTTTTTTCCATACCAAGTCATTGAAAGCCAGGGTATATCTGACATTTATGGCTTATCTCCAGTCAGATGCATAATTCTCATCCACAAGACTCAAGCCAAGGAGAGAGGCTTCAGAAGAAACCAACGCTTGCCAACACCTTGATCTTGAACTTCTAGCCCCTGGAATTGTGAGACAACAAATTTCTGTTGTTTAAGTGCCCCAGTCTGCGTTACTTTGTTACACAGCCCTAACAAACCAATACAAATGCTCACTTGTGATCTGTCCATGTGGTCCACACTTCCTCACAGAATGGCAGATGGGTTTAGAGAGTGAGCGTCCCAAGAGGACTAGGTGGAAACAGGATCACCAGGTATGACCTAGTTTCAGAAGTCACTGGTGTCATTTCCTCTGGAGTTGCAGGCCTACTCAGATTCAAGAGGAGAAAACACTGGCCCACCTCCTAATGAGACGGTGATCAATGTTGTGTTGTGAGAAGAGCATGCTGGATGGAAGATCTTGTTGTGGCCATCTTGGAAACTACAACATGCCCTAACAGGCTAGGAACTTTAGGGACTGGCGATGATGTCATTACCCAAGATAGGGATTACAGGAGGAAGAGAAGGTCTAGGATGGGTTAGAAAATGAGGTAAGGTTTGAACAGGTCAGTTTGGCCCAAGCCTGTGAACATTCAGGTAGAAGCAACCGATTGCTAGGAAATTAGATATGTGAATCGGGGCCCTAGGAACATGTTCTGAGCTGAAACTGTCAATTTGGGGGGCCATCAACATATTAGAAGCCAGAGACTGAGTCCACCTACAATGTGAGAGAAGATGACGGTTGAGGGAAAGCATTAGCCATCTATTTCTACATAATAAAACCATTCCAAATATTAGTGGCTAAAACAACTGCAGCTGAACCTTGAACAAGGTGGGGATTAGGAATTGTGGCCCTCTGTGCAGTTGAACGTCTACTTATAATTTATAGTTGGCCCTCTGTATACGTGGGTCCTCCATATCCACGGCTCTGCATCCACGGATTCAACCAACCATGGATCACGTAGCACTGCATTATTCACTGTCAGAAAAAAATCGGCATATAAGTGGACTCAGCAGTTTAAACCTGTTGTTCAAAGGTCAGCTGTATTTATTATTTGTCTGTAGGTTGGTTGGGTAGTCGTCCTGATTTCATCTGTCTTATTTATGTGGCCAGATTCATCCGGACAGTGAGTTAGAAGGTCCAATATCCTCTCACTCACATGTCTGATTGATGCCAGCTGTTGGCAAGAGGCTGGGCTCAGCTAGAACAGCTGGAACACTTGGGTCTCTCTTTCCATGTGGCCTTTCATTTGGGCTTCTTTATAGTGTGATGGCCTCAGGGCAGCATCCTAAGTGGGCAAGTCTCAATACAAAGGACTACAATAGCCAAGACATGGAAGCAACCTAAATGCCCATCGATAGATGAGTGGATAAAGAAGATGTGGTGTATATACACATTAGAAGCCAGAGACTGAGTCCACCCATAATGTGAGAGAAGGTGATGTATATATACAATGGAGTATTATTAAGCTATAAAAAAAAGAATGAAATAGTGCCATTTGCAGCAATATGGATGGATCTAGGGATTATCATATTAAGCGAAGTAAGTCAAAGAGAGAAATCAAATGTATGATATCACTTATATGTGGAATCTATGCACAGGACTTACCAAGCACATTTGCTACCAAGCTAAGACCTCACTGGGCAAAGAAAGTCACACAGACAAACCCAAAGTCAGTGTTGGATGCCTTACCATGAGGCATGATTTGCTGGCAGCCATTTCTGTAAAAATACACCTCTACTCATTTTAGGGTTGTGCAGAAAAGAAACCAAAGATAGAAAACCGGAAGAACCAGGAAAGGCCCAGAAGAACGCAATGCTAAGGAATCAAGAAATGTGTGAATTCCACAAGAACATGCCAAGCCAGGACTTGCGTGACCTTGGGAATGAATGTCTCACCCTAGCCCCAACCTGAAACTATCCTCTGGATTTGGCAACACAGAGGGCAGTTTCTTCAACATCCCCACATTCACTTCAGGAGTCAATGTCACAAAAACCTTAAGCACCAAATACAGCTCAGTGAAAACAATTCTGTAAATTCTAACAAACGTGGTCTAAATCTGTAAATTTTACAACAGTCTGGCTTGATTAACGAGAAAGCCCTGTGTCTGCAAGTGTTTTGACCAAGGCGCACAGAAAGAAATACCTTTGCATCGAGATCCAGTGCATGCATGCTCACAGATGCACACACATGTCTGCGTGCACACACGTACACAAGTGGCCAAAAAAAAGTTTCCTGAAACATAGAAAAGATAATAGTAACCTACTAGGTCCAAAGCTCTGTGTCCCTTTCTATTTAATTGTATTTATTTTTTAATGCTAGTCATGCCTTGCTAAATTGATTTCACCTCCCACCCACTCATGAGTCATGGCCTGCAGATTAAAAAATACTAACTTAGGCCATCCAGAGCAGAAGTCAGAAAACTGACCAAATCCTGCCTTAGCTGTGTTTATTTGGTTTCACCTGTTGGTTGTTGTTGTGTTTTTTTTTTAATTTACTTAATGGAGGTAGGTACTGGGGATTGAACCCAGGACCTCGTGCATTAGCTAAGCATCTGCTCTACCATCACTGAGCCATACCCTCCCCCTGGTTGTTTTTGCAAAAAATGAATTTTATGCCTTCATGCTGGCCTCCTTTCTCCTATATACTTCCAAATGTCTGATACCCAATGCTTCACACATCTTCACACTTGCCTGGCCCCAGAATGCATTTTTGTTTGGGCCTTCTAGAGCTCTAGATTCTAAAGGAATAGATGTATGCATTTATGCATTCCATGAATATTGAATGCATGTCTCTCACCTGCCAGCCACATTTCAGGCACTGGGAAGACAGCGGAGAGCAGACAAAAATCACTGCTTTCATGAAGCTGAGATTCTAGAAGAGGGAGGCAGACAAGCAAATAAGAAATTATATTCTTTTATTAGATGGTGATAAATTCTTTAGTGAAAGTAAAGTGGGAAGGGGCTCAGCACGCTTCAAGAGCTCCCAGAACTGCAGGATTCAGCTCCTTTGTAGAAACGAGGAAGCCTGTTCCTACCTAACAGAGGGCTGAGAGAGGAATGTGGGAGAGTATGGCCAGAATCTTCCTCAAAAAGAGAGTTCCCAGACGGCCCCAGCAGGTAAACCTGATCCATCACGTCCCCAAATTACTCTGCTAAAGAGCAAAGCACCAGTAACTTTAACCTAGAAAACTTCAAAACCTGTCAGCCATTAAGGGTAAATCATCGCAAGACACAGTCACGGGCACACTGCACTGGCCTAGGGTGGGAAGCCCTTCGGTGTATGTCAGACTTCTCACTAATTCGGTCTTCCCAGTCCCCATCACCCTCTCTCCCACATGATAAACGGCCACCTCATTAGCTCTGCACACATGACCCTCTCGACTGGACTCCTGGTGACTGCGCCTGCCTTATCTCTTGCCTCTCCTCCCTCACATTTTCCGCTCCAGCAAAGCCAAACACAGCCCCGTGCGGGCTTTCACGCTTCTGTGCCTTTGGACACGCTGTTCCTTCTGCCTGGAAGGCCACCCGCCTCCTTCCCAGCGCGCCCCCTCCCCCTCCTCTGCAAGCTCCCATTCATCCTTCAGAACCCAGCCTGGATGTCCCCTCCTCCAGGAAACCCTCTGAGATCCCCCGGCTCCATCTCTGTCCCCAGCACCTCTCTCTGTGTTGCTTCTCTGCACTGTAATTACCGGTCTCTCCAAATCTCCCCCTACCAGACTCGGGCCTCCTCCAGCGCGGGAGTTGTGTGGGCCACTCGCTTCGCACCCAAAAGCGCCTAGTCCCGAGCTCTGAGTAACAGAGCTTGCACCCAGGTTCAGGCTGACTCGCAAGGCCCCCGTTTCTGTCCTCCGCCTCTCAGGTGGCCCAGGGTCGGGTCGGGGGGCGCGCTCGCGCACTTTCTCCTCACCGGGCCGGCCCCTCGCGCGTCCGTCCAGCCCCTGACATCAGCAGCCGGCTG